TCTTCAGAACAGAAGTTTTGAAGAAGAGACGCAATGGACTCAAAACATCTGCTTTTTTCCCCCCCCTCAGGATATATATATTGCCAGCCTTGATGAATTTCTCCAGCACTTTTAGTTTTTATTTCAGATCTCCAAGATCCACAGTACTTTGCATTTGCTGGATAGGTGGCTATTCTTCAATGGACGTGGGTATTGATTACAAGTCTGGTATTTATTGTGCATCCCCAATTGCACTTAAACTGAGTTTAAGAGGCTAATTTCAGAGTCTAGTTAGGGATGGATCCATGGTTTTCCGGGTCTGGTGTCACAGCTAAACTTGAACAGGTAAGGTCAACAGATATGTTTGAACATATCACTTCATGGTAACCAGCAGTAGGACAAGTTTTATATTTCTGATCTAATTAATTGAATTTAAATTCCACCAACCACCATGGTGAGATTTGAATCCATATTCCCAGATCATTAACCACTGGATTACTAGTCCAATGGCATTACTGCTATGCCAACATCTCCCCAAAGGTACAGTCAAAGCAACAGTATTAAGGTAGGCAGAAAACTATAAAATTTTTTTGGGTGGGAATCCCATGGTTTATGCACTAGAATTTGAAGGTATGGCTATAATTGTGGGATGAAAACATAGTGCAAATGCACTAGAATCCAGATTTATTTCAAAGACAATTATATATCACAATTGATAAAACGAAACATAAAATGACACTTGGATTTTCAGAAGGCCAAAAAAACCACAGCTTCCAATCACTTTCTTCTCTCCAGACTCTCAAGCCCATCAGTTTACAGGGGTTCAGTGCCCCTTTCAGTTCTAAGAAACTCTGTACCGAATCTAACTAACCAGACATTTTATGGAGATGGAATACACCTACCAAACCATAGTTCACACTAAAATTAATACAGTTTCCCATATTCAAAGTGGCACTTTGCTTCTAAACAAGCCTCAGTTCTGGCTTCTCTTTCATCTCCAACTCATGCTGAAAATGTCTTCCTTTCTCTTCCCTTCTGTTAGCACTGATACAACTTCCTTCCCTCTCTTAAATGGTGCAAACCACTTCTTCAACCTTGCTACGTGTCAAACTCAATTTTCTCCCCCTTGGATTCCAAGAGAGAGCTGTAATCAGCTCCTGACCTCTCAGAAGAGAAATGTTCCCACTTTCTTCACTCTGTCTCCTTCTATAGTCTTGTTTGCAGCTCCTCCCGTAAACATCCTCCCATCACTAATCTTCCATCCCACTAAAAGGGAATGCTTCCAGCAACTCATCTCCAACATTGTGGTGCTCTTAGTTTTCCAAACCTTTTCAACACCCAAACCAGGGCTTTCTGCTCTTGCTGTGACATAATAGCTGCAAACATGGGTAATAAAATTCCCAGCTTTGTAAGACCTACAGCATTCAGCACCACGTTACTTATGCCAGAAACATTACAGAAAGAAACTCTGAAGCACAGCCACTGATACATGAATGGTATCTTCAAAACAATTACAGTATATATTGAATTATGAATAAGGGGTAATGCTAAGATTGAAATTAGGAGGAACTTCTTCACTCAGAGGGTAGTGAATCTCTTCTGCACTCAAAAGGTTTAGGGGAACCCAATCACTGAGCATTTTCAAGAGAGAAACTGTCAGATTTCTTGATACTAAAAATATTGAGAGAGATGGGGAAAGTGGAGAAAAATAATGCACAGTTATCAGCCGTGATCTGCCTGATTGGCAAAATGTGTTTGACAGGCCAAGTATTTCCCATGTTTTAAACACAATATGACAATCAAACTGAAGCCATGAAATGTAGGAAAAGTTATGATTTCAAAATAAAATAAAAATTCTTTATCAATTAGAAACTAATTAACCAATTAAGCAGCCAACTGTAAAGGAATTTCCTGCTTACATGCTTATTTTCTATTGAACCCAAAGGTTCACATAGTTCAACAGTCCTCTGATGGCTCAATCAAATGGCCGCATAAGCTATATACAAGTTACATCATGAGTGCTTTGCCTGAAGGCAGGTCCTTGGCTCACCGCCTGTTCATGTTTCATCCTGAGCTTTTTTTGGCAGGCGTTTTTTTTCCAGTAATGGCTTGTCATTGCGTTCTACTCTCAGAGCAGAGAAGTAGGCAAGTCCCAAGCAGGAATGAGAATCAAACCCATGCTGTTGGTGTTATTCTGAACCATGTGCTAGCCTCCAGCTAACTGAGCTAACCAGCCCATGCGCAAGAAATAAATATCTAAATTTTGGGGGCCCATTAGCTAATGAATAGTACCTGCAGCACTGATTTTGTCTTTCTTTCCTCACTCCATGGGCATTGAAATTGATTCCACCATCCCCATCATGTGATAAGGTGATTTTTCATAGAATGGAATCAACACTGGATCCTTCAGCTCTCTACGGCTGTTACAAATTATGTCTGGTATAGGTAATTTTTTTGTATTCAATGACATTAATCGCTAGAAAATATCACACATTTACAAGAGTCACCGGTTGTCTTCAATCCAAATGGACAATAGTGAATGTAAGTATCAAACTGATGATGATCTGACCTGGATATTTATGCCCTTTGCATGTGCATTTCATTGATCTCTTGGAAATGAGTTATTGCTGGATATAGCAAGGCTTGGCTATAATCGTCAAGCTGATTTATTCCACAGGAAGGCATATGTACAGAGCCAAGAGCTGTGATCCAATCTTCTCAATTCAATAGGCAAATTGTCTATGCCATAACAAGATCAAAGATGTTTCCTATTCCATATCCGTATTTGACTTAACGTAAGTTGATTCCTCTGCATTCTGTCCCACAATCCAGAATATGAACCCAAACCCCAGCAGTCACCTGTCTTTTTGCTGTCTGCTCGCCAGTTTGGTAACTGTGTTCAAAATCCTCTCTGTATAAAAGTAGCTTCGTAGAGAGATATCTGTCTGAATACCCAGGCATGTTAACAAATAATTTTTCTGTTACATCTCCAGAGAAATAAGTTCCATTTAACTTGGTAACCAGTCGTCAACGTGCTTGTTTTATTTACAAGGGTGGAAATATATCCTCATCTTAAAAGTACGGTATTAATTCTTTTTCCGCATGCTTTCCTGCTGAAAAAACTGGCCAAAAAATCTAGAAACATGAGAATGGATTGCAGCTACACAAAGCGATTTTTTAAAAGAAGTGGAGCTCAATCTTTTATCTCTTTGCGTTGCAAAGTGTTTGTGTGTGTGTGTCTGGGGTGTGGTATTAATTAATTGTTCATTAACATGACACTTTAGTGATTGTGTGTAAAGGAAAAGCTGTTTTGTCTAAAGCTAAAATCGTATTGAAAATATACCTTGAATTGCTGTCTCCGGCCTCTCTTTGGTCTGTGTTTATTTTCCATCTGTGCCGCTCTAGTCATAATACTTTTCTCCTCTTTCCCATCCCCACCCTTTCCCCGCCTGCTTTTACTTCTCTTTGTCCATAATAATTAGTAACAGAGTTCAGATTACATGAGAAGCAGTAGCTGGTCCAAGATTCAAGCAGTATTTAGAAGCAACAATACCAGGACCAAAAAGGCAGGTAAAAAGCCCTCACTGCATCTGGGGCACAGTGGGAGGTAATGTCAATGACATTGTCTTATTCTGAGGATGGGTATAAACAGTATCTTGGCTGGCAGCCACATAAAAATGTATAGACAAGCTCAAACTTGGCTTTTGTAATCACAGTCAGTTAGTTGCTCCACTGCAATTGGTTGTTCTACTCCTATTTCAGGAGAGAGCTGCTGTTCAATAAATAAAGAAATCAGCACTATTCAGAAAATACCTAAAAAATCCACTGGTAGAAACATTTGAACAGCCATGTTTGTGAAAACTCTAACCTTTCTCAAGCTGCCTACCAACGCTGTTAACACATGTACCCAGGATTGATGGGTAATCCCTGCTATGGCAATGCGCTCCTCACGTCAGAACCCACAACACTGTGAACTCCTGAGCGAGGTCTTGTCTGAAGGTGGTCAGCACCGTAGTGAAAGAGGAAGCACTGAGTGCATTGAGTGCACTGTTGTTGACAATCAGACTGATGCAAAAATTTTTTTTAATTTCTAAAAGCCTGCCAACCAATCAGATGTTTCCTTTGGCAAGAGACTGATAAAAAGCCCAAAGATTTTGTTAGATAAAATTGCAGACTGATTTGGCTCACAATTTGAACAGTGCCACCTATTGAGCCAAGTGAGAAGATTTTGAATAGCACATTTCTAAAACATCTTTGGTTTGCTAATACTTTAGGAGGGTAACCATGGCAACTCTATCAAATAATAACATTGCTTTTAATTAATATACTTTATTATGATTTTGGAGAATATGTATTGTGTGACCATAACGGAGACTACCTTCGTGTTTAATCATTTTAAATTTAGTGCCAAGACGTCAGTGTTTGAAAGCTAAATATTATTATAATGTGAATGCTAAACATTATATGCTAATTACTAATGATGGAAAATATCTTGACAGAATAGCCAAGTGTTTTGCAGCAACAATTTTGCTTGTCATTTCTTAAAGAATATTTCAATAACTGATTTGCCTACATTTTCTTTCATATATTCTGGAACAAAATTCAACTATTTCACTTGGAATAAGCATCAAGGGTAGCAGAAGTATAGAATATATTGTAGGTAGAGGATTAAGAGATAATAGAGATAAAGATAACCAAGAATAGCCAAATTCTGATAGAAGTGTTTGCCAGATTAGGCCCACACCAGATGAGCAGAGAAGTAACGAGAGGAAAACTTACTTTATCTCATCCTTACCCATCTAACCTTTGTAGATCCATCAGTAATGGTGGGACTGACCAACACTGTCCTTGTGGAGATTAAGTTCTGAATTTATACTCAGATTATGTTTCATGGTGTTTTGTGATACTGCCACTGTCCGAAATGAGATGTATTCTGAACAGATGTACCAGCTTAAAATCAGGCATCTATTAATCACCATAAACCATCAGCAGCAAAATTACATTCAAAGACAATGTCTTACCTCAAGGCCAAAATTAACCCTCATTCATTCATCATCAAGCCAGGGTTCACTCCTGATGCAATGCTCTCCGACACACCTCCTTGTGGGGGTATCAGCAGTCATATCTGAAAATGAAGAATGAACCTAGTGAAGCCTCAACACATGACTATATGTCCTAAATAGCAGAAGCAGCATCCAATAGACAAAGCAGAATAATCCCACAATCAATAGATCAAGTCAAGCTCAAAAATTTCCCATATCCAGCCATGAACGATGATAGACAATAAAAAAAACTAACAAAAAGAGAAGACTCTTCAAACATCCTCATCCACAATAAGGGGGGAGTTCAGCGCAACAGTGCAAAAGCCAAGGCTAAAGCAGATGCAACCATTTTCAGGAGAATTCTGAATGAATCATCCATACGTTGGGCAGCACAACGGTTCAGTGGTTAGCACTGCTGCCTCACAGCAACAGGGACCCAGTTCAATTCCACCCTCAGGTGTTTGCATATGTTCCCCGTGTCTGCATGGGTTTCCTCTGGGTGCTCCAGTTTCCTCCCACAGTCCAAAGATGTATGTTTAGATGGACTGGCCATGCTAAATTGTCCATTGTGTCCAGGAATGTCCAGGCAAGGTGGATTAGCCATGGGAAATGCAGGGTTACAGGGATAGGTTAGGAGGTGGATCTGGGTGGGGTGTTCTTTGAAGTGTCAGGATGGGCCAAATGGCCTGCTTCCATACCAGGGATGCTATGATTCTATCTCAACCTCCTCCCAAGCAACACAAATGCTAGTATTCAGCAAATTTAATTCACTGCAATAGGACATCAATAAAGGCCCTGAGTAAAGCAAACGCTATGGGCTCAGCAAAGACCCCAGCTGTATTAAACAAGATTGGTGGTCCAAAGATTGTCACATTGAAACTTTTTCAGTACAGCTGCAAACCTGACAACTACCCAGAAATGTGGAAAACTGCTGAACTATGTCTCACCCACAAAAAGCAGAATTCAACCTCGCCAATTACCATCCCCTAACGCTATTCTCAATCAAAGCAACAGAAGATGTCATTGACAGCACTTCGAAGTATCAGTTACATGATAAACTGCTCACCAATGTTCAGCTTGGTTTCTATTGTGGCTCCAGATCTTATTAGTCTGAGTGCAAACATGGACAAAAGAGTTGAATTCAAGGGGTAAGGTGAGTGTGACTGCCCTCAGCATCAAGGCAGCATTTGAGTAACTGTGGAATCAGGAAGGCCTAGCAAAACTAATGCGAATGTAGCCAGGAAAATCTCTCCAATAGTTGGAGTTATACCTAGCACAAAGAAAAATGGCTGTGATTGCTAGCTGTCAATCATCTCACCCCTAGTAGTGCACAAAAAGAACAATGCAATTCCTTAAGGCAGTGTCCTAGGCAATGACCATTTACACCCCCTTCATCAATGACCTTCTCTCCATGATAGGATAGAAGGGGTGGATATTCACTGATGATCGCAATGTTCAGTACCATTCCTCAAACCCTGAAATAGTCCTTACCTCATGCAAGAAGGCCTCAATAATGTTCGTACTTGACTGATAACTGACAGACAACCTCATGTGCTGGGCAATGACCATTCTAGTAGAACAACTGCTCTCTCTCTTTGACATTCAATAGTATTACCATTCAACATCTTGAGGACAACCATTAGCCAGAAATTTATAAATACTGTGGGAACAAAAGGAAGTCAAAGGGTAGAAATGCTAGAAAAAGTGAGTAATCATCTTTTATCTCACCAAAGCCTGTCCACCACATAAAAAGCCCAGGCCAGGGGTGTTATGGAATGCTCTCCACTTGCCAGGATGATTTCAGGTCCAAGGACACAAAACAATTAATGACATTATGCAGGAAAAAGTAGCCCATTTATTGGCACCATACCACCACATTCACTCCCACCATCATTGACACAAAAGCAATAGTAATATTTTGTTTCTGGGAGGTGTGCAGCCATAACTAAAACAGAGCAAGCTTTTCCACTGAAGTTCGTTACAAGGAAATGAGGGAAGGTAAAAAGAAAATTATTTGCCAAAGTACCATATTTTTGCCACCACACGAATGGACAAGAATTTGCCTTCAATGTGTCCATCTTTCCATGTGGCTGTAAGAATTAGATTCTCAAATCAGCAACTAATTTACTCTATATCATCAGAAGTTCCCCAGTCGGGATTTCGCTGAACACCAGGGACTGTAATCGAGATGGCCCACAATATTAAACACAGTGTTTCATTTTATATATGAATACGATGGACATGTCACACTGCGAGCTTCCTTTAAAAAGCACAAAGGAAGCAATGCCTTTTTAAAATTATATATATATACCACGTCGTTTCTCATTGAGCCAAAGCAAAAGCAAACAGCGAGAATGTTGGATAAACAGAGTTAATGTTTTAAGTCTGGTATGCCTCTTCTTCAGAGCTGAACTGAAGCAAGTCAGACCAGACTGGAAACGGGATTGACTCAATGCATCCATCGTGAATGAAATCGAAATCGCGGGTTATTTCCAGCAGTAGAAAACGATCGTGCTTTCCTTACCATTTACATCCATGAGCGAAGGAAATCAGGCGACTTCTAAAACGAGTGTCCTAAGTTCTAATTTCCCATTCTTCAATACAAAAATCTCGAAACATGAAGAAACTCATCAAAGTTTCTGTGATTGAACACTAATAGCACAGCGCTTTATACATTGTAGGGCTCCGACAAGGAGGCAGAAACATTCCTGGCTGTAAATAAAACTGTTCCCAGCAGTTTATCAACGATCTGGAAATGACGAATTTGGCCAATGTCCTTGTGGACACACTGCGACTTGCAATGTGTGGATGAATAAACACGAAACTCAAGTGCTTCCCGATATATTCCTAAAAATATGAAGTGCAGCAATTTTCTCATGCTAGTTCCATTCCGTTCCCACCCCTCGGCATCAGTAAAACCTCACTTACCATCAGGAGAAAGGAGACAGGCAGCGCCCGCTCATCCAGCGGAACTTTCCTCCTTAACTCTCCCTCACACAGAGACACAGAGAGAGACTGAACTCCACTTTCGCAACTTTCTTCCCAACACGTCAGCGGGCACGGCCACGTGATCCGGAGAGGCAGGAGAGGCAAGGGAGCCGGGACAGACAGACCCAGACAGACAGTGCCCAGCTACTGGCCATCAGGCTGAGACAGGCAGTTGCCCGCCACCACCGATTAGACAGACCCACTCCCTGCAGGTCAGACAGTGAGGTAGTCCCCAACCACAAGCACAAGCACTCAGACAGACAGTCCCCAGCACCAGTAACGAAGTCAGACAGACAGTCAGTAACATTCAGACGGTCCCCAGCAGCAGGAACGCAGTCAGACAGAGGGTCCCCAGCAGCAGGAACGCAGTCAGACACACTTTCCCCAGCAGCAGGAACGCAGTCAGACAGACAGTCCCCAGCAGCAGGAACGCAGTCAG